TATATATATATATATATATATATATATATATATATATATATATATATATATATATATATATATATATATATAGACTTACTATATATATATGGAGATTTATAATGCAGTAATTTTGTATTTTTACGATCAGCAACAGAACCAAAGGTCACAGCGTTATAATGATTGTCGAAAATATAACATGTATCGAATACTGTTCTTCCTTAAAGTATATCTTAAGTAAGACAAGAGCTTCCAAACTGCAAGTTTGATTTGCCATAAAAATACGATACGTCTCATTAACTAACACCACCAGTAGTAATTAGTGTTACATCCTAAAAACGATAATTCAAAGAATAATTAAAATAAGCAACAACAAATATAACAATATTACAATTGCTGGTGTACATAGAACTATAATAATTTTTAAATAGATTGGAAAAACGTTCAGCGTGTTACGCATTTACGAGAAAAATAAAGTAAGAATAGTAAATAAGTAAAGTAAAAAAAGCTTTCGCAAAAAAAGATTTTGTTACGGAAAATAAATTAATGAAAGAATATAAAATACGTGATATTAAAAGTGCTTCTCTATAATCCATCTTGAAGTTGAAATTGTTAGTTTTATTTTTCAATTCGAAAATAGTATAAAGTGCTCTCTTCAAATGAGACATTTTTCTAATTATTACAAGTAATTTATATTTAATAAATAGAGCAACAATCTCTCTTCTGACTTAATTAACATCAGTTATACTTACAGTAACAAAACATTAATAACAAGAAAATATTGAGAACATGTAAAAGAAAATATTATGTATATATTTTACATCAATTCCATTCAATTTAGACTGACATTTCTTTTAAATATCCACATATATCCGCATTATAACGTGCGAATATCTTATAAATTATATAATACATAAATATATATGATTATATGATATACATATATATATATTATATATAATTATATGATATACATATATATACACACAATCCGTTCTAATTCTTTCTCGAAAACGAATATCTCCCAATAAAATAAATTCTAAAAGTAGCACATATTTACAAAACATTTAGGAATGTATATTCGTTATTATCAGGAAACTATTAGTAGAACACAACGTAAAAGGGAACGTATGATTTATTAATCAACGATAGAAATTTCAAATATGTAATTTTAACATGATATTTGACTGATAGTTCTATCGCACGCATATTACCACGATCCAATTATTTTAAGAGCAATATACCAAAAAGTAACGTTATATCGAATGATCTAATCCTTCTCATGTCCTTTATAAAACATTATCCATGCAGCAGTGCCTTTTAGAACACATCATATTCTCAATTTGCGTATAGACGACCGTTAGAAAAAATATAAAAATATCGCCATGTGTATTTTACAGCTCGTTCCGTGCCAAGACAAACTTTGACGGTTTGTCCTATGCGACGCGTTTTTTAGCAATATAGTTATGTTATATTCTCGTTTGAGACCTAAGACTTTTTTATACATTATAAAGAGAATTTTCGTATAAAGAATTTTTTCTACCCGATCCTCCGGATTAACGAACATGTTAATCCCGAAATATTATCATCCTAATATTCCATTATCTGACGCGTGTTATTTATATATATATACATACATATAAATATATATATATATATATATATATATATATAT